GTGCACACATGTGTGCATTAGCCCATGTGTGCTCCTCTGAGGGTGGTCAGTGGGGGTGTGCACACATGTGTGCATTAGCCCATGTGTGCTCCTCTAAGGGCGGTCAGTGGGGGTGTGCACACATGTGTGCATTAGCCCATGTGTGCTCCTCTGAGGGTGGTCAGTGGGGGTGGTGTGCACACATGTGTGCATGAGCCTGTGTAGGGGGCTGAACTTTATTTTTTAGCAGAAAATACACATTTCAGCCATGCCCCTGTTTGTAAGGCCTGAGAGGCCCCAGGTACAGCGTGCTAACCTTTTCTCCATGTTGGGCAGCTGGCAGCTCGGTGGCCTTCTCCCCTGGAAACCTCAGCACCAGCAGCAGTGCCAGCAGCACCCTGGGCAGCCCCGAGAACGAGGAGTACATCCTGTCCTTTGAGACCATCGACAAGATGCGCCGCGTCAGTTCCTACTCCTCCCTCAACTCCCTCATCGGTGAGTGGGCCCCTCCCTCCGTGGCGGGACGTGCAGCCTGTGCTTGTGCTACGGCCATGCTGAACAGGGCATTCCAGGGGTATCTAAAGGCAGCTTAATCACAGAGGAAGGTGCCAGAACCTTCCATCTTCTGTGATGAGCAGATACGAGTTCTGCATGTGAACTAAGCTCCCAGTAACATAGAAAGTTGGTGTCAGCCAGGGGTGAGTCTGCCTCTCAGGAGACATTTTGGCTGTCACAACCAGGGCCCAGTGGTGGATCCTGGCACCTCCTGGGTGCGGCCAGGCCTGTGGCTCTGCGTCTCCTGTGCCCAGGATGGTGCCACAAAGGCTAAGAGCCCTGCAGAGGGAGGTAGGAAAGGCATCACTCCACCTGCAGAACTTCCAGGGAGCTTTCACATCTACTTGTTTGGCAATTTGACACTTCACTGCTTGGAAATGGAAACTCGAGTTAAGGTCCAATTCTTCCCTTATTCTGCCATGAACATTACATTCCTGAGTTTTACTGCTGGATTGCCAAAGTAAACAAGGATATAGGAAGTCACCACATCTCCTTACTGTGTAGCTAGGTGTGTCTGCAGACTGCTGGTGGCATGTTGAGCACTTACCCAAGTGAGCCTCCTCCCATCTCCTGACCACCCGGAGTGGTTCACAGCCTTCATTTGACTTTTTTTCTTTAACAATAAGAAGCATTTTAGGACAGGTGTAGTGGCTCACTCCTGGCATCCTAGCAACTGGGGATCCAAGCAGGAGTTCAAGATTAGCCTGAGCAAGAGCAAGACCCAGACCCCATCTATACCAAATATAGAAAAACTAGCCAGATGTTGTGGCAGGCACCTGTAGTGCCAACTACTCTGGAGACTGAGATTGTTGTGATCTATGATGCTACGGCACCCTACTGAGGGCACAGAGTAAGACTCTGTCTCAAGAAAGAAAAAGATCTCATTTCAGGCACATGAGAAACCTGTGTCTGTTCCATTCCCAGCTGGAGGACTGCAGGTCATGGTCAAGCTGTAGAGCTTCTGCAGCCCTGTCCCCTCCAGAGCCAGCACACACGTCCTCTCCTAGGGTCTCTGTAGCTGGCATCAGGCCATCATGTGGCATGTGACCTCACAGAGCCTGTTTCTCACAAGAGCCCCCCAGATCAGTCCTCTCTGTTGCAGCCCCATATGTCCCTCCATTAAAAGCTGTCATTAAAACTACATTTCCCGTGCTGTCCCAACACACTTGATGTTTAGGGCCTCCCTCAGCTGTGCCTCCAGGCTGGCCACTCTGGCCTGGGCCTCCCTGCCCTGTTGGGCATCCATGTTGCATGCTTGAGCCAACCTGTCCCACCCAGAGCTGCCTTTGTTACCTGCTCCTGTAGAGTTGCTGCTTCCTGCCATGTGCCCTGGGGGCAGGCTGATCCCCTCCTCCGTGCCTCATGGGAGTGTGGGTGGGGGTGCAGCCATGTGGGGGCATGTGTCCCCCACCCACCTCTGGCTAGGTCAGCTCTGGGGGGCCCCACCCCTACGTGTGTCCTCCAGTCTCATCACCCTGCATTGTGGCCAAGGTCGAGCCTGGCCTGTGCTGAGAACAGATGGGACTCACTCCTGGACAGGAACCTGATTCAAAAGAGGCTGGTGGGCTGAGTGTGACCCCACTTCCCTTGCAGTGTTCTTGTCCCCATGGTGGACAGGTGTGGATCAGAGGCCTGGGCCAGGTAGACCAGTTTTTAGGACTCTGCTAAATACAGTGACATTTTTCCATTCCAAGAAAGTGTTACCATAGCAACAGGTCCAAGATGGAGCTGTGATCAGGGCCCAAGAGGGCACAGAAGAACCACAGTGGCTACTGAACCAGCTCCCTCAAGCTCCCTGGCCCCCAGGACACCGTGGGGAACAGTGCCGTCATTCCGCCTCACTGTGTCACCCCGGCTGTCCTGCCTTGGCTCCTGTGGAGCCGGGATGGCGGTTTTCTTTTCTTCAGGGCATCAGGATGTGCTGCTGTAAAAGGCGTGTCCTTCACAAGCCTCAGGCCAGCCCCAGACTCCTCAGCAGTGAGCTCCATCCAGGCCGCAGGGTCTGGATGCTGGCTAGGGAGGTGTTGGTTTGACCTTCACTGAAAACAGCCCAGCATGCGATTAACAAGGGGAAGCTGAGCAGGGCAGCTGCCAGGGAATGGCACAAGTTCCGAGAGGAAGGCTTACAACCCATTAATTCAAGTTCTTCTCGTCAGAAAAGAGCAGTGACAAAATGGACAGCGTCGTTTTCCAGTGTTTCAAGATTAATTATGTTTTTAGAGCAAAATCCTAATTAAAGCTGTCATTAAGGCTCAATGCCCGTAGCACAGTGATTATGGCTCCAGCCACATAAAGGGTGGTGGGTTCAAACCTAGCCTGGGCCAACTGAACAATAATGACAATGCAACAAAAAATAGCTGGGCATTGTGGCAGGCGCCTGTAATCCCAGGTACTTGGGAGGCCAAGGCAAGAAAATCACTTAAGCCCAAGAGTTGGAGGTTGCTGTGAGCTGTGATGCCATAGCACTGAGGGCAACATAGTGAGACTGTCTCTAACTAACTAACTAAATAAATAAATAAAGCCGTCATTAAGTGTGTCTTGGCCAAGTGTGATGGCTCATGCCTGCAATCCCAGCATTCTGGGAGGCCCAGGCAGGTGGATTGCTTGAGCTTAGGAGTTCAAGACCAACCTGAACAAGAACAAGACCCCATCTCTACTAACAAAATAGAAAAACTGAGGCAAGAGGATTGCTTGAACCCAAGAGTTGGAGGTTGTTGTGAGGTATGATGACACCATGGCAGTCTACCCTGGGCAACAGCTTGAGACTCTGTCTCAAAAAAAAAGTGTTCCATGTGGGGAATCTGAGGACCATGCTGAAGAGAGGATGCAGGCATAGCCACCCCGGCCTGAACATGCTCTGTCCTTCGTGTGAGCAGCTCGGGGTCTGCAGCTCCACTGGGCAGGAGGGAAGGAAGGGCAGAGCTACTGGTGGTGTGACTCTCCCACAGGCCACTCCAAGTCATGGCTGCAGCCCTGGGGAGGAGCTGAGTAGGAGGATCACTGTGACCCCTGGCCTTGGGCACACAGATTCCTGGAGCTGGGCAGAAGCTCTCAGCCACTCCACATACCTAGGATGGAGCATCAGAGATGTGACCCCACTGTGCCAGCCCCCCAGGGCCAGGTGGCAGCCTGCAGCTCTGTCTCGAGGGAGACTGCCTTCCCCTCTGAACTCCTTCCTCTGCCAGCCCAGACACATCTACAACTCAGAATTGCCATAGAGCTCTGGCTAAATCTCCCTGCGTCACATCTATTCAGAACATTGTGGCTGTTGCCCTGAAAAATAAATTCTGAAGCCATCAGTTATGGTCTTTTATTACTTTTAGTCTAGACATGAAAACAGCTTCCCAACACTTACAGGGAGTTCAGCGATGCCACACAGGAGCCTGTGGAAGCAGCTGGCAGTTCAGAGCCGAGGGTGGTGCCCACGTCTGTAGTCCCGGCTACTGGGGAGGCTGAGTCGCCAAGTGGGAGGATCACCTGAGCCCAGGAAGTAGAGGTGGCAGTGAGATGTGAGGGTGTCATTGCACTCTAGCTCAGATGACGAAATGAGACCCTGTCTCCTGCAAAAAACATAATTGAAAAATAAAAATAGTGTGGGCATGGTGGCTCATGCCTGTAATCCTAGCACTTTAAGAGGCCAAGGCAGGAGTTTTATACCAACCTGGGCAACATAATGAGACCTTCTGTCTACAAAAAATTTTGTATTCCTACAATCAAAGAAACTATTAGCCCTCCTCCATGCTAAGCTGTTTTCCAGGAATGTTCTACCAAGCCCTGATCTTGACAGCCAGGTGTTGGCATCTGTCGTCCCCACCTTCAGAACGAGGCCTGCAGTGACATTCTGGTTAGGGCTGTAGCTCCCACTCGCCAGCCTATGCCCTTGGTCACGCTCACACAGAGCCACCGCACGGTCAACATCTCACCTGACATCTGCAGGTGTTGCCAGACTGACGATGTGTGTAGGTCGGAAGCCTCACTGCCTGCTTGCTCCCAGCCCCCCTACAGTGTTTTTTTACAAGGAGGGTCGTCCTGTGCACTGGCTGGACTCCTCTTCAGCAGCACAGCAACACAGCTCCTGGGGCAGCTGCTTCTGAGGAGTGATGGAGGGAGGAACTGGGAGCTGGAGCTGCGTGTGCATCTGAGTCGTCCTCACCAGAGCTTCCTGCCGCTGCACTGAGAGGTTGTGCAGCCATGGAATGGGGCGCCTTCCTCTTCCTTGAGGCCACAGTGAGGGCCTGCCCTGGAGTGAATTTGGATGCAGCCTCCTGCCACCTCCCTCCTCTAAAGGAAACAAACATGCAGCCACTGCCCGATGGGCCTCACGTAGCAGAGCCCCAGTTGTTGGGCTGAGCTCCTGCTGGCAGGCATCCTCCGGGCCAGGAGGCAGCTCTCAGGGCCTCTCCCATAGAGACTCTGGGTTCATCTTACCAGGCAGTTTCCTTCACTGGCTCAGGGCCATGGAGTTTGAGAATTGAAAATGTTTTGTCTGCATCCAAATTCACACAGTGCAAGAGGAAAGTGGGTGAGCTCTTTCACTCGCCTGTCCACACACCAAGGGATCCCGCAGCAGAGTGCACCTAGGTGGAGCTTTGTCTGACTTAGTCTTCCGGAGCCTGTGTCTCCCAACCTTCCCGGGCACCAGGCTGTGTGAGTGGCCTCAGGACTGTTCACAGGACACATGAGACACAGGTGAAGGGGAAGCCTTTCCTCTGTCAGTGTGACATCATCCTGCAATGTTGGGATGGGTCAGCCTTCAGAGAAATACTGTCTTTTTAGGCCCCAGCCTCTCAGTGACTAGCACTGATGTGCGCAGCAGGGTGACTCAGCTCTCATGGGAATAAACACTCCTCACAGTGGTCCCTTTGGGGAGAGGCTGTGTCATGGGGGTGTGTGCAATGGGGCAGCCTCTGGTCAGCCACAGTATGCATCAACATACTGACCCAACACTTGGAGTGATATGGAACCCAACTTCTCTGCACATCAGAGCAGAGTTTGAGGTGGACTAGCTCCATGCAGCTTCATGCACATCTTGTGGGGGAAACCAGCTTTCACACCAAGCCTCACCAGCCTCGACTGTGTCTCTTGAACCCGTCCCACCCAACAGTTCATTGGCAGACCCTGCACTCTTGAACATGTCTTCCTACTCTGCAGCAGGGACACTCCAGGAGCTGATGGAGTGACGCAGATTCACGGTTCATTTTTTGTTATTGAACAAGCCCTTGTTTTTCAGCAAATAGTCCAGCTTCCCTCAAAATATAAATGACAGAGTTCCGTGTGGCTGTCTCCCATTGGCTTCCCAGCCCAGGAAGCAGGACCCTCTCTGCCCCACCTGGCAGAGCCACCTCAGCCTTGGCTCTGCTCTGCAGAGCTGCCCCTGGCCTCCCCTCTGGTCTCTGCGTGGACCCCTCATTATGTCTGAGTTGCTTCTGTGGTTTCAGTCAGGCGTCCCCAAAGGCTCTGTGTGTCTCCACCGCCTCTGTGTCTTAGTTCTCTTTCTTCTGTTTTTAATTTCAGATTAATGTGAGGGTATAGATGAGTAGGTCGCATTGTTTGCATTTGTTGGGTAACATCCAAGTAGTATGTGTGCCCCTCCCCAGGAGGTATGCCCTGGACCCCCACATTGTGCCCGTTCAGTGAGAACTCGCCCGTCCCCCCTCTCCCCCATCTGAGGCTGTGTCTCAGTTGTCTACTCCCAGCGGTCACTCCACTCCTACTTTGTCTTCACCCCTTCCCTGCTGGGAGAATGCTGCTGCTCCCCTCCAAAGCCCTCCTCCCCGGCACCCTTCCCATCAGGTCTTTCCGGCTGTCACCCCCACCCCAGCCACTCCTCACACTCATGACTGCATCCCCACGTGTCATGGGAGTGTCAGGAAGGCCACACAGGTGCACTCACATGTTCGGTCCTTTGGGCCTCTAGAGAAGTGTCACCCCCACCCTGCACAGTGCCTGGGGACTTAGATAAGTGGGGCTGCACAGCCTGCAGTGACAGGCCCTCCTTTCTCCCCTCACAGCAGGTTGTTGTGTGGAGTCCTTCTCTGCCTTGTCTTTGTATCTGGCAGGCAGTATGAACCCTCCAGTCAGGGATACTCCCAGTCACGGTCTGCTGGGTGTCTTGGGAGACCTTTGGGGGCAAAAGTCACATCACATGCACCTATTATGAATTCTGAGGCACTCAACATGCCATGTGCAGAGGTGGGCAAAGACAGCGCAGTGCCTCATATGTACCCAGTGTGGGGGCGGGGTGGGAGGGGGCACGCAGCAACCTTCAGCCCCCATCCTGGGCCTCCTGGTCCAGGAAATGTTGGGAGGTCAGATGCTTCCCTGGGAGCATGGACTCCTGTCCAGCCCACTAAGGCGTTTTAGACGGAGCCCATCCTGACAACACAGCCGTCCTGTTACAAAGACATGGCCTCTGAAGATGGACTCCGTGTGACCAGGCTGGACTCTTGAATCTCCAGGCCTATTGCCCAAATAACAAAATGGGGGCTTTCCTGTGGCCCAGCGATCTGAAGCAGCACTTCCTTACACCTTGGTTGGGTTTTCAGAAAATGGAACTACCACAAAAGCTGCCTAAGTTTGCAGCAGCAACTGTTTGCTCCTAAAACATCTCCCATTTCTCTTTTCTAGGTGTTTCTTTTAATAGTGTTTACACTCAGATTTGGAGAGTCCTACTGCACCTGGCAGCCGACCCCTACCCAGACGTCTCCGACCTGGCTATGAAAGTCCTCAACTGCATTGCTTACAAGGTGGGTGCATGGCGGGCGTGGCCCAGGCGTAGGCAGGTCTACGCCTACAGGGTGGGTGCACGGTGAGTACAGCCCAGTTGTGGTCAGGTCAGCGCCTACAAGGTGGGTACACAGCAGGCACGACCCCAGACATAGTCAGGTCTGTGCCTACAAGGTACTCCCAGGGTAGCATCTAACCTCCCCCGACTTTTCTTGGACCCAGGAGGCCCAAGACAAGGGGTAAAGGTCACTGCCTGCCCCACACCCACCCCACGCCAGGTGCATGTGAGGCTCTGTGCTGTCCTCACCCATCTATCTCAAAAGCAAATAAAATAAAATTAGAAAAGAAAAGAAACTAAATTAATCCATTCCTGGGTCCCACAAACTCGAATTTTCAAAATGATTTGAACAGTACATACACTGTGCCAGGAGTGGTGGCTCACACCTGTAATCCTAACACTCTGGGAGGCCAAGGCAGGTGGATTGCCTGAGCTCACCAGTTCAAGACCTCCTCTCTAAAAATAGCTGTGTGGGGGCGGGGTGCCTGTGGCTCAAAAGAGTAGGGCACCAGCCCCATATGCCAGAGGTGGCCGTGTTCAAACCCAGCCCCAGCCAAAAACTGCAAAAAAAAAAAAAAAAAAAAAAATATATATATATATATATGCATATATATATACATATATATATAATAATTTTTTAAAAAAAAGAAAAAGAAAAATACTTGTGTGTTGTGACAGGGACCTATAATCCCAGCTACTTGGGAGACTGAGGCAAGAGAATCACTTAAAGCCATGAGTTTGAGGTTGCTGTGAGCTGTGACACTACAGCACTCTACCAAGGGCGACAAAGTAAGACTCTATCTCAAATAAATAAATAAACTAGATTTTAAGGTAAAATATTAACAAGTAATAATATTGGAATGAAAATATAAATTAATAAAATTAAAAATATAAAAACCTGGCCAGGCCCAGTGGCTCACACCTGTAATCCTAGCTCTCTAGGAGGCTGAGGAGGATGGATTGCTTGAGCTCACAAGTTCAAGACCAGCCTGAGTAAAAGCAAGATTCCCATCTCTACTAAAAATAAAAAACTGAGGCAAGAGGATCATTTATGCCCAAGTTTGAGGTTGCTGTGAGCTATGACATCACAGCACTCTACCCAGGGCTACAGCTTGAGACTGTCTCAAAAAAAAAAAAAATATATATATATATATATATATTCCAAAAAATATAAAGGCCTGTTCCGTCACAATTGAATACATCGTTCAAAACATACCCCTCACTGTTGACAAACTCCTTAAATTCCTTTATGAACCTTTCTGCTGGCTTGGACACCGTAGCTCAGTTGTTAGAGCACCAGCCCTACACACCAGGGTTTGAACTTCTCCCAGGCCTGCTTACAATAATAATAATAATAATAATAATAATAACAATGAACTTCTCTGCTGCTTCTGAATTAGAAGTCACAGCCACTCCGTGCATAACAACACTGTGGACCCCAGAACCTTCCTTAAAGTTCAGGAACCACCCCCTACTGGCCTTAAACCCCTTCTTTTGAGCACTAGTGTCAGGCAGGCATTTCACTAAACAATTGTGGAGGACCTTGGCTTTCTCAGGGGTTATCCTCTCAGAAATCACATCACCAGCCAGCTGTTGTTCGTTAATCCAAACTAGGAGGAGTTTTTCTATCTCTTCCACACTTTTCGATCTCCTAGAGGTAAGCGTTGTAACCCCTTTTTGCCACATCAGCTGCTTTGATAACTTATTTTCCAAACTTGTTTGAACAGTGGATTTAGGAGTCCCAGACATAGTAGTGAGATCAGCCACACATGCGCCACTTTCATGCTTAGCAATGAGACCTTTCTTAACTTCATGTAGCTCCAACAGCTTTCCTCTTACTCTTATTTTCCTCACTACACTTTTTAGAACACATAGTGAGTACACTTAGTTACTATTATATTTAAAAAAAAAACAGAACAGGCACAAATTAGCAGTTAAAAATCACACGAGATGGTTTTACTATAGCTTCCAACAACAAACTAAATGCAAAGCATATAGGTGGCCCGAGTGCTGGGAAACGTATGCACAAAATCACACGAACAACACGCTGGGCGTTCAGATTCCAAAGTGACATTCAGATTTCAGCAAAATTGTCTTGAATTTTTGTTTGGATTCCAAGTTTTTCAAGTTCTGGGGTGTTCGGATTCTGGGGGCAATACTGTAAGACATTCATTATAGCATTTATGGAATTTTTTTGTAACTTTTTGATAAAATTTCAAGCTTCCAGAAGTGTTGCAAGAGAGAACAGGGAATGATTTCCATCTCGCAGCCGTCATCTGGCCTGGCCACAACTCCCACTCCTAGGCTTGGACCTGTGCCTGGGAGCCCTGGCCGCTGTGATTCCCAGGCCTGGTTGCCGCCACCTTCTTGGTCTGACCTCCCTAGAGCCGGAGGTCCCCGCAGCTCCTCACCTCCTATGGCCTTGGACCCCTGCACAGCTGTCTCCCCTGGTCTAGTTGTGTCTTATTTCTTGCAGACTGAAATCACCTCCGCCCCACCGTCTGCAGTCACTGGTTCATTCCTGGTAATATCACAAGTCAGAGTAACAGCCTCATTGGAGCCCCAGTTTTAAAATGCAATAGTAATCAGTCTCCACTTGCCCTTTAAAAAAACAGTAAAAATAATGTACAAGTAAATTCTGGGTTGTTTTTTATTTATTTATTTATTTATTTATTTGAGACAGAGCCTTAAGCTGTCCACCTGGATAGAGTGCTGTGGCATCACAGCTCATAGCAACCTCCAACTCCTGGGCTCAAGCGAGTCTTCTGCCTCCGCCTCCCAAGTAGCTGGGACCACAGGTGCCCGCCACAACGCCTGGCTATTGTTTTTGGTTGCAGCTATCAATGTTGTTTGGCAGGCCTGGGCTGGATTCAAACCCGCCACCTCAGGTGCATGTGGCTGGCGCCTTAGCCACTTGAGCCATAGGCGCAGAACCATGTATTTTTTTTAAAAAAAAAAACAGAATCTCAACCTGTCACCCTGTCGAGAGTGCTGTATGTCATCACAGCTCACAGCAGCCTCAAACTCCTAAGTTCATGAGATCTTCCTGCCTCGGCTTCTCAAGTAGCTTGGACGACAGGTGCCCACCACAATACCCAGCTAGTTTTTCTATTTTTAGTAGAGATGTAGTCTCACTCTTGCTCAGATTGGTCTCAAACTCCTGAGCTCAAGGGATCCTCCCTCCTTGGCCCCAGAGTACTAGAGTTACACTTGTGAACCACCTTGCCCAGCCAAATTCTGGGTTTTAAACTCATAAGATGCTCCCACATGTACAGTGTGCTGTGGGGAAGCACAGACTCATTGGTCCCAGGCCTTTTGCCAGCCTCCTTGGCCAGTAAACTGCCTGCTCAGTGTGAAATGTTAGGCATTACTACTGGCCAACTTGGAAAGATCCAGATTGTGTAATTAAATTGTCACTCTCTTGTTGAAAATAGCCAGTTAATTTAAGTTACTGGTTTCATTGTGTAGCAGAAAAACTAAAGAGCAAATCATCTGCTTCCCCAAAATTAAAATGCAAAAGAAATGTTTGTTATGTGTTACAGGCAGAGCCCTAAGTTTGGAGGTGAGTAAAGCAAACAGGAAAGAAACAAGAAGGGGGCTCGACCCCTGTAGCGCCAGCCACGTACACCGGAGCTGGCAGGCTCAACCCAGCTCAGGCCTGCCAAACAGCAGTAACAACTGCAACCAAAAACTAGCCAGGCATTGTGGTGGGCGCCTGTAGTCCCAGCTACTTGGGAGGCTGAGGCAAGAGAATCACTTAAGCCCAAGCGTTTGAGGTTGCTGTGAGCCGTGACACCATGGCACTTTACCAAGGGCAACATTGTGAGACTCTGTGTCAAAAGAAAAAAAGAATGAAGAAGGGAAAGGAAGCCGGCACCTGTGGTCCCAGCTACTTGGGAGGCTAAGGCAAGAGGATTACTTGAACCCAGGAGTTTGAGGTTGCTGTGAGCTATGACACGACAGCACTCTACTTAGGGTGACAGTGAGACTCTGTCTCAAAAATAGGAAAAGAAGTTCTCAGGTAGGTTTTGAATAATCGTTTTCACCTACATAATTTTTATAACTTTATACAAACATTAATGAGTGGTTTAAGTTTTTAGAACTCATGTCCATGAAGGAGCAACTGGCCAGGTCTTTGTGCAGAGGCCTCTGACCCACAGATGGATCTGGGAGCTTGTTCCTGCTTTGAGGCTCAGGACATCCTGGGGGCACAGGCCACCCGCCTACTGCCGGCAGCACAGCTGGAGGCCACCAGTTGGTTTGACCATTTTTAAGTATTTAAGTGTTCTGCAGTGGCTTCTTTTACGTATTTTATCTTACTGAATTATCAACTTGAGTGATTTAAAAATGTACTCCCAATGCCTCAAAGTTCCTTACTGTGGGTCTGACCTCAGGTCGTTAAATACGTGGAGCACGGGCACTTTCCTGCTATGCACTGCAGACATCAGGTGCGGTCTGTGTGGACAGGGAGACATGTGGTGCTATGAGCCAGGGAAAGGTGCAGCGCCCCACTGTAAGGAAGCCAGCATCTTAAATGTCATCTTCCACGCCAGCAAATCGTAGCAGCCTGTAAAGTTTTCCTGTTGCACCTATAGAACAGCATCCTCATCAAAGTGGCCTTTGCCTCCTGTGCCTGCCTTGCACCTCAGGCTGCACATGTTGTCCCATGGCAGACACGCCACAGCCAGAGGGTCAGAGACGAGAGAGGGCCTCCCCCAGAGACCTTGCACAGCAGCATGGATGCGCGTGTGTGTCCGAGAGTGTGTGTGTCTGAGAGCGTGTGTGTGTCCAAGAACATGTGTGTGTCTGAGAGAGTGTGTGTATGTCTGAGAGCATGTGTGTGTGAGAATGTGTGTGTCCAAGAGCGTGTGTGTCTGAGAGTGTATGGGTGTCTCAGAGCATATGTGTCCGAGAACATATGTGTCTGAGAGCGTGTGTGTGTCCAAGAACATCTGTGTATCT